TCGGAGGCTGCAGTTCCCCCGCTGCAGACAGACGTGCGGGGCGTTACGTCTTCACCGAGTGGTGTAACCGCCAGCAGAGTCCATGTCTGTCGCCCCCAAAGGAGTGCTGTGTCCTTGAGCATCGTCACCCTCCCCCATTCTTCCACCCGCAGCCTCTGGCGGCCACTCACAGATTTCCTGTCCGCGGATCCCCGTCCCTGCATCTCCCTGGGAAGGGGTCACAGAGGCACTGGCCTGTGTCCGGCCTCTCACTCCGCACCATGTTCCCCGCACTGTGGCGGGGCCTCTGCTTCCTGTTGGTGCCGCGCGGTATCCGCTGTGCCCGCACCCCGTTCACCCGCCCGCCACCGCGGCACGGGGGGCTTGTCTCCGCTTGTTGGCGATGGTGACGAGTGCGGCTCAGACATCCGTGTGCAGGTGTTTGTGGGTTTTATGGTCATGTTTTCATACTGATTGGCCCAGTCACTTGGCTGAAATCGTCAGCAAATCCCTGGCGTTGAGTTTGACCTTTTCCTTATTGTTCCTGGGCCTTGCTCCCCGGAATGTACCTGCTTGGAGTCCAAGGCCACCCCCACGTGTGAGGCCAGCGCTGACCCTCGGCACTGCCTCCTGCCCTCCAGGTCGCCTCCTTCAACGACCCCGACTTCCTCAAGCTGCTGGAGATGTCCATCAAGTACGGCACGCCCTTCCTCTTCCACGACGTGGACGAGTACATCGACCCCGTGATCGACAACGTCCTGGAGAAAAACATCAAGTTCTCCCAGGGCCGGCAGTTCATCATCCTGGGCGACAAGGAAGTGGACTACGACTCCAACTTCCGGCTCTACCTCACCACCAAGCTGGCCAACCCTCGGTACACGCCGTCCGTGTTCGGGAAAGCCATGGTCATCAACTACACCGGTAAGGGCGGGGCCGCCGGGCATGCGGGTGGTGCCAGGGAGGCCGCCATCTGAGACAAGGCCTTCACGGCCCGCATTTCATTCAGTGACCCCATCAGGCTCTTAGTCACATCTTTTAAAAATATGTATATTATTAATGATTTCAGAGAGGAAGGGGGAGGGAGAGAGAGAGAAATATCAAGGAGGAGAGAGTCACTGATCGCCAGCCTCCTGCACGCTTGTCGGGGGACAGAGCAGTGAGGCCGCCCATGTCCCCCCAGTCACTCTGAAAGGCCTGGAGGACCAGCTGCTGAGCGTGCTGGTGGCCTTCGAGAGGCACGAGCTGGAGGAGCAGCGGGAGCACCTCATCCAGGAGACGAGCGAGAACAAGAACCTGCTGAAGGACCTGGAAGACTCCCTGCTGCGGGAGCTGGCGACCTCCACGGGCAACATGCTGGACAACGTGGAGCTGGTGCAGACACTGGAGGAGACCAAGTCCAAGGCCACGGAGGTCCGCCGCTCAGGGAGCGCACCGCGTCTCGGCTGCGCTCAGGGTCCCGGGCCTTGGGATCGGGGGCTTTGGGCGGGAGGACGTCAACCTGTGCTCCTGGACGTGGGCTTTGAGTCTCCTGAGGGTTTGCCTGATGAGAAATGGCCCCCCTGTGGGGGGTGCTGTGGGGAAGGGTGTTCGAAAGGTCTCCCCAGGCCCTTGGGCCTTAGGTCAGCCTTTTGCCCTTGAGAGTGATGGGAAACCCAGCCTCCTTCGCTGACGTTGGAAGGCGTTTATCAGCTTACAAAACAGGAAGGTCCGTGCCAGCTTCAGGCAGGGCTGGATCCAGGACGCCAAGCCTGTCACCCAGACTCACCTTCCCGTTTCTGGGCTGGGCCTCCTGCGGTTGGCTTTGTTCTCTGCCTTCCTGGGAGCCAGCTCCCCGTGGTGTCATGGGTCTGGCTCGTGTCCGTTCAGGTCAAGTCTCCGGGGGACGTGGGACTCTTTCCCTGTCCGATCACGAAGGCCCTGAGAGTCATTAAATCCCACGCCCGGCGACCATCCACGGCCCAGGGGGCTGTTGCGTGGCGTGGTGGGTCCTGGAGTTGGGGTGCAGCCCCGTGTGGAATGAGATGGGGGTGCTGCGCGTCCCCAGGTGAAATGTGGGGCTGTCGGGAGAGGTGCTGTGGGGTCGAGCCACGGGTGCCCACCACCTCTCGCCACGGCGGGCGCCTGCTGGGCCCTGGGAGCGCCCCACGGGTCATTTTTTGTCTTTTCTCTTGCACCTCTCGCACTCCCGCCCTCTGCCTCCTGTTTACAGTCCCCTTGGTTAGAGGTGCGAGCGTCCCGTCTCCTTGGCAACCTGCACCTTTCCTGCAGGTGTCGGAGAAGCTCAAGCTGGCGGAGAAGACGGCCCTGGACATCGACCGGCTGCGGGACGGCTATCGGCCAGCGGCGCGGCGGGGCGCCATCCTGTTCTTCGTGCTGTCGGAGATGGCGCTGGTGACCACCATGTACCAGTACTCCCTGAGCGCCTTCCTCGACGTCTTCGGGCTGTCGCTGAAGAAGTCGCTGCCCGACTCCATCCTCATGAAGCGGCTCAGGAACATCATGGACACGCTGACCTTCAACATCTACAACTACGGCTGCACAGGTGAGCGCCCCCTCAGGCCAGGCCGGCCGTGCCGGGCATGCCGCCGGCCGGGGTCCTCGTCCTGCCCTGACTTCGGGTGATGGGGGGGCCGCCGGACACAGCACCTGTGGAGGTCCTGGCTCAGGGCTGCTTTGTCCGTGGGTGCGGGCGGGACAGAGTCAGCCCGTGCCGTGGGGCAGGAAAACGGTTGCGGGTGATTGCTGGTTCCTAGCGGGCTCGGGGAGGCAGCCCGCCCTCTAACACGGGCCAAGCACCGTTCAGATCACAGACTGACTTGGACACTTTCCCCCAGGAACGCATTTCTTCTGTTAAGAAAAGAACCTGGGGTGTACCATCCTCTTTAGCAGAGGCTGCGGGGGATGTCCTTCCTCCACCGCAGAGCCCGGCCCGCCGGCAGCAGCTCCCCGGCCCCGCCTGCTTCCACGGGCTGTAGTAGGACAGTCACACACGTGGCGGCACATGGAATTGAGCCCGTGTCTCCTGTACTCGGTCATGGACTTCCCACGTAGGGAGGGCTCAGTGCAGCCGCCCCGTCCGGGGCTTTGTCGCGTGGAAGCACGCTGTGTGCCAGAAACTTGATTTTAGAAATGACTTTTAAAATGTATTTAAATTCCTTATTGTTGAAAGTGTTACTTACGTCTCCTTTCCCCCCATTGGCCTCTCCCCAGCCGCTCC